CATGCAAATTAGCCAATTGGACATAAACATTGCCACGTGTGAGTGTTTTTTATTTTTAACCAGAAAATAAATAGCAATTTTAACGGTGTTCCAATAAGAATTCATTGGTCAAATTTTCACAGAATGTTCTTTAGATAAAAATCTATATAAAAAACGAAAAAAACTATTTTTGATTGAAATTCACAAATAAAGTGCATCTCTACCTTAAATTGATTTAAATTAACTCTGAAAACACAATTACCTACTTTCTATAATTGGTGAAATCATTTTGAGGAAATGACATAATAAAAATAAAATAGCCATGGCTGGGTCTATTCAATCCTCGATGTGGTTAAAAAAAACGTGATGAAAATTTGCAATGTGAGTGTGCAATGGTTGGATGCAAATGTGATGAATGGGGGAGCGAATATGATAGTTGGGCTGCATGATTGCAGTAAAAGAGTGACAGGTTGGCCAAAAGCTATATTGTAGCTGCTGTTTACATGGCAACATAAATATTATGTCCTTGAAGTAAACCATGTGACTGTATTTACTGTTTGTGTATTTACCTTGCCATATATACAGTGTAATAATAGACCATTTTCCGTTCACTGCGAGAATCACGCGTTATGCGTGAAATCGAACGTAAAAACAGGACAAACAAAGGTCATAGCGTCGTAGTCGCGTCAAACATCTCGTGGGATTCGACAAACGCGAAAGTATTTCGGGGACATTTCCATGCATAATAATGTGCTGTCCACATTTGATGATAGGCAATTTCGATTAAGTAAGGGTATTCGGAAGCAATATTCTTCTGTCGAAGATCGGCCGGTCAATGTAAGCTACGAAATAAAGAAATTCTAGTTCAAAATCAAATTGTTCGATTTTTGCTGCAGACGTTCGACGCGCGTCTTTCATGCATCTCGCGAGATCTCGCAATTGTACGGAAAATCACCTATTCGGTTCTTCCTATGTCAGCAGCAACTACTGGGTTTTCTACTTCTTTGACAGAAGTACACAGTAACCCCAATATTCACTTATCAATCATTCTGTACTCCACTCACCTTGATATAGTGGCTCTGAATATTTGCTCTGACAGCAAGATTCTCAGCATTCACATATCATAGTAGTCTATATGGTATGATTTGGTCCCGTCATCTTTGTACGTATCTCCACTACCCGTATAAGATATTTAGTTCCAGTTCGCATAGCATAGCTTCTGAGCTGAAAGCACAAACAGTTGCCTGAATGTTTTAATCCTCTTTCTCCCCCAGGGCTACATGCATTTTCTCCCAAGTCAATTAAACTCACTTAAGGTAGCTCGTTTGCCAGGTCGAGTAATGAAAAAATAGGACTGTTTACTGAGTTGTACTTGGGTATTTCCATTCAACACACCTAATTTTATTTGAGTACAAATTTGACCAAATTGATTTGGATTTGATATTAGATTTTATGAAATTGCGTGAAAGTTACTGTCCTAATATCACAGTCTTACATGACTCACAAAATTTGCGTCTCATGAAACTAAGGTAGTTTACAGCATTATCATTTTCGTAACGAGACATCATGTACTTTCCATTTATACCATTTCGTTGTTTTATTATTCCAGACCAAAGAGAAGTACCAATCACAAGGACACTATTTCTCGTCTGAGTTGGATGGTATGCGATCAGAAATCAACACATTGACATCTGAATTACATCAACGGGACATAACTATAGCGTCGCTGAGTAACGAAGTATCTGCCATTGAAAGAAGACTAAGAGAAAGTCGAGAGCAAGAAGATCGTATTAACAATGAGTTACAGGTATAATAAAACAAAATATTTCATATTTTTATGTTGTTAGAAACAATAATTTGGATGTCTTTTTATCTACTGGTCATTGTGTCTTGTGCAACTCAGATGTCATTGTATTTGCTCTATTAGTATATGCTTGCGTAAATGTCAAAGCATACAATAAATGCAATTTTTGGTTTATGTGTGCTTGACATTTATTATTTTATCAACATTTCGCACCAATCAATCATACATACACACTTGTGTATGGTACAATTACTGGTAGTACTTTATACAGTATTTATACAAGTTCAAACTAACTGTGTCGATACAAAAGAGGGATGTGTAATTTTAAGATCAAATAGTTATTCAATTTTGTATAATTTCTGCAGGTATCCAGTGCTCAGCTGGACGCCCTACGATTGGAAAACAGACACTTAAGAGACAGTACAATGAATGAAAAGTTAGCCAATACAAAAGACTTGCAGGAGGTTGAAACACAGATATCAGAGCTACAAGAGTTGCAGATTCAGTACACAAAAACCATTGGCAAGTTGGAGGTAAGGTGGTGTGTTTGGGCATGATTTTCACTAGTTTTGAACTGTTTTATATTTCAATGACACATGACTGAAATGCTTATACATATGTAGTAAATGAAATGTTGAAGAGCAGAAATGCAATCCAGTGAGGAGGAGGGGGTGCCCTCACTAATGTGTTTGTTTTACTACGGTAGTGAGAGAGCAGCAATAAACCTGGTTTTATGCTTATTATTTCCTCTGCCAGATTTCATGATGATACTTTGAACTAGACACTTATTGATTTATTTTGTTCATTGTCAAATGAGAGATAGTCAAAACACCTTCCAATTTGGAAAAACTTTGAACATAAAATTCAGTGGGTTATACACATCCTGTTAAATATATTTATACTGCAACTGATGTGGATACCGGTAATGTATCGTTTTATAATAAACGTTATTGTGTTTTGTTAATATAGGAGGAAGTCAGTAGACAACGTCAAGAGAACTCCAACCTGACGCAAGAACTGTCCAATTTAAAACACCAATACAATGCAGCTTTACAACAAACCCATACATCTATCAATGACATCAAAGAGAAGGACAACAAGTAAGTCTTTTATTAAAATAAAATAAAATATATCTTGCCTGTGTATCTTTTGACATGTAGAACATTTGATGAGCAAATTCAAGGCAGCCATGTCTGTGAGTTTCCATTCTTTCCAAGCCCATTTGAAGGTTATTTCATTTACCTGTATTTAGTCTACTCTTCTGTGGTTTTACGACCAATATTTTAATTATTGACACATGCTGTATACCCATTCCAAAACCATCCATTATGTTACTGGGCTACCTGTTGTGGTACTCTGGATTACATGCTCAATAGTAAACAGTAGTAAGAATAATATCAGTTACTTAACATTGAGGTAATGTCAGTAAATGATTAATTTTTCAGGAAACTAAGGGTATTGGAAGAGGAATTTGAGAAGAGACTAGTTGGGGAGCAAGAAAAGTTTGAATGCACCATAAGCAAGTACAAAGCGGAAATGAAATGTTTGCAAACTGAGAATTCAAACTTACAGGAACATCTGAGACAACAAGTCCAAAATTTAAGACGTAAGTTGTCCTGGTCACTCTTGCTGTCTGATTCAATATTAGGATTTATGTCAATAGCAATGTGCAACTTTTTCACGACAATATTTCAAGATATGATGAACCCAATGTAAAAATATAAAAAGATAATTTGTTTAATCATCATTTTTTTTGTAATGGTTGTAGGATTGGAAGGAGAGAATGGAGTTATGACTGAATTTATCAGCAACGTAGACCAAATAGCTAAAACGCCACCACACAGATCACCGTATGCTCTATCACCAATCAAGTATGCAGACACTAGTATCAATACAACACAAGAACCATTGGAGTTACCGAGCATGCTGCCAACACCTGAAAAATATGAATATGAGGTAAGACTATGTAGATAACTTCTAGATTGTGTATGTGTGAAATACTACACAGGTGTACATCATAGGCTTGGTTATTTCTGAGTTGTAGATGCCAAACCACGAATTGTGTATTGTGGCTTTGTTGGTTACATCATTTGTATGTCTCAAGTTCGAATTCTACCTAAAAAGAGGCCATGGTTTGTGTGAGTAGGTGGTACTAAATGCTGCTTATTGAGGTATTCCAATTACAGTAGCTAACAAGCTTTTATATAACTATATATGGCTGTTTTCATAGAAATATAACAAATGAATAAAGCAATAGGCACAATAATTATACATCTTTTTCTTACAGAGACCAAGTTCAAGGGCTTCTGTCACCACTCATTTTGTTGCAGATGAACGTAGACGAGGCATGGAATTAGAACAGCTGTTAGACCATCACATTGCTGATTTGCATAGAAATACAGAGAACACGTTAAAGAAATTTTCCGGTGCTAGGTAGCATTGAGGAACCATCAAACTAACTAATAACAGTTTTCAAACAGAAGTACAAAATGCATGCTGAACCAAAATGTAGATTGATTGTGAATATTGTACAAAATGATTTTTTTTTTATGAACAATGTATATTAATAGATATTTGATATGATTTATTATGTGATATTGTTGTCAGCTTTTAGTGATTATTTTATAACAATGAACTCAAAATAATTTATATTTACCAAATGTCATTTTTTTAATAAATAAAGAAATGAAACGTTTTTGTGATAAATTTCTTTGTTTCATGAAGTTCATTTGTTTATACATAGCCTAGTTTCTTGGCAAAAACATTGTTAGCGATGCAACAAAAATACCAAATTTTCAGAAACGGTAACTGTTGCCATGCATATGGCAATATATCTCTGCTTTGACCCCTAAATGGCTATAATTATTCAAAGAAGAATGATGAGTTTGAAATCTTATATTAATTACATAATAGTAATAATAATAGTAGTTCCAACAACACTGCAGGCCACAAGGCGTTACAACTGTATTTGCATTACTTTAGTACATAGAACAAGATTTGGATCATAAAAAAAAAAACTTGTATTAGTTGATGTCTAAGTTAACCAGAGTGGGCTCTCGCAAAAACAGTCATATACATCCTCTCGTAGGCATCCTCCCCTATAGAATAGTGTTGAATGGACTACATTAAATGACTAAGTACATGTCACATGTCACGATGATTTAAGTGCACTTCTAATCCAACATGGCAATAGTGGATTCGTGAAGGATATACTAGTATATGCGTAGCCACGTGGATATCCTTTAAATAGATAAACATATTTAGGCATATAGTTGCAGTACAAAGTTCACTGCTAAGTTCAACATTTTGCAACTGAAAGCAGGTTTTTATTGAGAGGAAATGGCCCGGGATAGCAAGGTTATTTTCATTGCGCTTGGGCTACTGTTTGTAACAGTACCAACGTTTCTGCATTTCTCAACAACTCTTGGAGATAGTGTTCAAGCAAAATGTCTCGTCGTTATTTTCGCTGTGATTTTCACATACGTGTGTATTTTCTTGCTGCCAAGGTGGAGATTAGCAGGTGTTAAAGAAGGCGGTTCTGGTCACGGGTCGTGATGCAGGTTTTGGAGAAATTAGAGTTTATGTTCTCAATGGTGTTTGCTGACTGTCTGTATCCGGGTAGGTTAGCAGTATTCACATTAAGGTAGAAGCCTAGTCATAATTTTTGACAAAATTGGTCATAAATCGCATGACAATGTTCATTAGTTTATTATGTACAATCATGAAGCTAATGTTCCATGGTATAATGAAATAGCATTATTTTGTGTGTTACAGTTATGCTTTTTGAGAAACGTGTTCCAATATTTCTTAAAAATTGCTATTTTTAGAACAGTTCCATAGAACATAATGTTAAAGAAAAAATGGATTTTTTGACACTGTTTAAAACCCAGATTTTTTTAATAATTCAGAACAACAAAAGGTACTCCATCATTAACAATATATGATTTTTTCAGCCTATGTCACCAGGCTAGATTTTGAGATATTGCATAATATCTCTGCCATAGGAACCTGTGGTAAAAGTGTTGTGTCAAAATGGCGACTTTCCACTAAAATACTACAACCATTAATTTCTCGAAAAAAAGGCTGGTGACCCCCAACTTTTTTTAGGTCAATATCCTTATATTGCCTTGGAGTACAATTTATTGCAAAATGAATAAATTCTGGGTTTTTTAATTTATGAGTAGGCTTCTACCTTAAGAGGAACAGGTTCGAGAATGGTACCATTGGATTAATGAATTTCTTGGTAAATCATTAGGTTTCCCATATACTAAATGAAATTAGTTGATGAAGATTTCCATCTCTGTTTATTCTCTATCATTTTTTACAATTTTTGTAAGGTAGTAATGTAAAATATTGAATATTCACATTGCGATGACATGTAAATGATAGTAAGTACTGACGCCAGTATGATCGCAAAACCATTTTTTTTTATTTCTGTACAAAATACTATGTCCCGTGATATATATACATGTATATCTAATTGAGCAACAAAGCACCCCATCACGAGTATGTGTCTTCGGAGCAGCATTGAAAGAAGATTGCTTTGTCGTACCAGAGGAAATATGGATATACCAGTAAACTACAATGTTCCAACCATCACATGGTGTACATGAAACTCACTTCTGCACGCTATAACTAAATTTTTACACTCATTTTCAACAATAACAATTTCCTTCAATAATCTTGAAATGAATGATCAAGACATATTACCTAGGTCCAACAATATGTGAATGTGGTGAAATGCACTTGGGTCTGTACGAAAAGCAACAGGGGTAAAACGTAAAATTATCTGTGATTTGAATATCTCTATAAGTTGCTACATAAGCATACTAGGTCCTTTAATAAAGCGCGGTGGTCGTCGCGCTGCGCAAGTGCTACATTTGTGTTGATAAACATAGATTTTCCCACAACCCAATACACTCTTAAAATGGAAATCACGTGGAAAAATGGAAAGTATGAGGTTCAACATGGGCGCGACTTTCTCTGAATACCACTGGTAACTCCTTCTATACCTTCCAACCACCTAAAATTAAAGCTTGGAAACGTCTCAGTCTCAGTTAGTACTCGTCGATCTGCGCAACAGTCAGAGTCGCCATCTATGTTTATATGTTTATATGAGACCCATATATCTTGCGCATGCGTGGCCCGACGACGACTATCTCTAAAAGTTACTATGCCATGCCAATGTTTGTCCAAGGGATAACCTTCCGATTATTGAAAACGTCGTCACACGAATAACCTGTGTATTGCACGGGACGTTTGACTTAGATGATCGCGTCTCGGCCTTTCTTTGTCTGCTTTCACGTCAACCAATGTTTAAATCCTTAATACGCAACAATTATCAGAAATACGAAATCCTATTGGTGCTTTGTATGATATCCAAGTACAGTACTAGTATTATACAACAAAAGGCAACAAATGATCCCGTAACATACTTGTCTTTCTTAATTAATTAATATACAAAATAATGAAGCTACTTCATATGCATAGATTTGTACAAGGTATCCAGCCACATTTCTTGACCGAAATGCAACTATTTATTTGTAGATGGGGAAGGTGCCAAGAAGCTTCAAGCAGAATGTTCACATAGGGTAGTCATCGTAGCATCTGACGAATCAGTTGCCATGGCAAAGCAGAAAGTAGAAGAAACGTTAAGAAATAGGACACATGGTAAAATTCGTGCTGTATATTTTTGTCGGATAGCCAATTAAGCAAAACGACGTAGAGCTTATATGTGAAATATAAAATAAGAATAGAATTACGCAACATATAACAATTAGGAGTGCATGATGCGACAAATCGTAAAAATATGTGCTTATTATTATAACAGGTCTGTGGGCAGTTGTCTACAATGCCAGTATATTTGTATGCGGCGATATCGAGTTTTCGCCAATTGAAATATTCAAACGATTAGTAGAAGTGAATTTATATGACACGGTGCGTGTTGCCAAGGCGTGTTTACGGCATATAAGAAGGAACAAAGGTACGGTACAGCGGCGACAGGATGGAAACCACAGGCCCGTGCTTTATAAATTGTCTAAAATACACAGTGCATTGTAACTGCTAGTATGGTATTTGTTATATTATCAAAGCGTGCAATCTTATGTACAAATTACTCCAGGGAAAAATTGCATATTTAGGCGAGAGATACATACCTTGTCAATGTAAGCACGGTTGGGCATTATACCTACACCATTGCACCTTCCCGAGGGACGGTGACCATTGACTTGAAGGCTAAATCACTGACTGATCTTGATTCGGCTGATTATAGTGACCAGATCTGTCACACGTGCATGGCAGGAAAGCGCATTGGCACAGTACCTATTAGAAAAGTAGTTCCAATACCACCTGGGACTAATCGGGGATCGTAAATTGTTTGTGTGCGCATTTTCGGGAGAACAATATTATGTAATACGCACTAAACATCATAGACAGACATTATAATTATTATTCAAATACAACTGATTGACACACCCGTTTTAATGCTGTTTCTTACTGACATTTGTCAATATTCCATGAGAAAATGAACTGAATGGCACACACACACATATTAGTCTCAAGTTAACTACAAATTGAATTCTCGTGATTGTGTTTGTATGAACATATTTATACAGGTCATGTCGTTAATGTAAGCAGTATATCGGGAATATGGACCATCCCAGCAAGTGTCGGGTATTGCATGACAAAGTATGCAGTATAATCATTCACATACGCCTTACGATTCGAAATGAACTTGAAACAATGGGGCTTAAAAGTAAGCCAAATATCATAGATTTTTCGCTAAAAGATTGCGTCCTTTCTTGTAAATTCCTACAACCCCATTCATGTATTACATTATTGCCTTTAGGTATGTGATATTGAACCCGGTCAATATTCCAGGGCTACGCAAGTCGGAATGAATAGATGGAGCGAATTCAAAGAGATTGCGTACAAACTTCAACAGTTTGGAACAACACCGATGATAGCGTCCCGGGATAGCGTAAAGAAAGATTACGGGAAAGACCTCATCGACAGCCACGTAGACAATTAGAAAGTGAATTGGATAGTTGATCCCAGTCCCGTTGTCATGGCGATGTTGCACGCAGTATGGAATATTAATCCTAAAGACCATTATCTAGTTGGGGGCCTTTTTAAAACGTGGTTACCAGCGTACATGTTTCGATTCTTGCCGTCGTGCTTAACTGACCACATATTTGCAAGGCAGTATTCGAAGTACGCAAAACCTGCGACACTGAAGAAAATAAAACAAAATAACAAGTTTTTTTATTTTGATATCGGATCAACCATTAACGCTGTATAACGCAGGCATCATACGTGTGCTTTGGATAATACCTCTACCAATGCCGCTCATTTCTGTATCATACAAACCAATCAAAAACAATCCTAATATGCGCTGCAGTTATTACCCCATACATATTCATGCAAAGCCCATCCATCTCATTGTAGGTATGTGGCCGATGTTGACAATTCTCCATCATTATTTTAAGTATGATTTAAATTTTCAATAGTCGTTTCTTTAACTTGACTTTATTAAGAACACATAACATTCCCCACGAGGTTCTCTGTTTGCTCTTTCGTGTCTGTATTATAACCGGACTTTAAATTTCCGGTGACCGATATTTCACAGATGGGATTTTCAAACATCCAGATATATATCCCGATAATTAGTCTGAGATGATTATTTAGTGACCCAATGACTGCACGGTAGTCGGTAACGTAGTGTGTTCAAAGACCCACATCCAACATGAACTTATAACTCCGTAACTTAGTTAATACCTGCTAATTTATTTTATTACTGGAAATAATGCATCTGTCCAAATTTTAATAATTATTTGGTTACGTTGAACACATCTACTCATGTTAATATTTTACCTTATATATAGTGACAGAGATTCAACCCTGCATAGAAAAGGAAACAAAAATCAACTGGCAATACCATTGGCTACGTGCCAGGTTCACACCCACAGAAAGTCACCAGCAGTTTTCGAAAATAGTGTTACACTTCCCGGAGGGTGGCCCTTGGTTGATATAGGTAGGACAAATGAGTGCTCTGCAAAATCAAAACCCCTTTCCACTGATTTTTAAATACAAATTTACCCCCCTGTTTTTGATAAAATGAGGACTTTTGGAGAACCACCGAGAAGATTCCCTTTCTTCTGCGCGAACGTTTCTTGACTTGTTTCGTTCAGGTGGAAGTTTGCCACTGCCAACACACTTTCTCGTTGTTTTGTCCCCTGCTTGACTTATCAGTAGCTGTCAGTCTTTTAAAAAACTATATATTTTTTTGAGTTTTCGAATTTCGAAAAGTATTCCCTTTCAAGTTTCTCTGCGAAATTAACAACGCAACGACCAGCCAACTGTCCACCCGGGATATTACAACAATAAGAAGGTAACTTTCAAAAACTCTTGATTCCCGCTATAATATAATCAGACTGTTACTATTCCGTCTTACAAAATTCATTTATAAATATACATGACTTGCAGAACTTTACTTCAATGCTGTTTACAGTTCAACCAACTTCAGACAAAACATGATACGTAATACATGCAATGATCCATGAATTTTGTATATACGATATTCAAACATTGGTAGTACAGGTAGACGTGTATTATAAAGCAAATACAACAGCTGCCCGCAGTACAAAGTTCATTGTAGGTTAAAGTTTATTCAGCAGCTTTGTGATCACAATAACAAATGGCTTCGGTCAACCAACTTATTTTCATTGCGCTACTGTTTGTAACAGTACCAACGTTTCTGCATTTCTCAACAACTCTTGGAGATGGCGTTCAACCAAAATGTCTTGCCGTTATTTTCGCCGTGATTGCCGCGTACGCGTGTATTCGTTTGCTACCTGACCGGACTTTCGGCTTAGTTAGTTACGGCGTAGTCACACCGATAAAGAAGGCAGTACTGATCACGGGTTGTGATACCGGTTTTGGTCATGAATTGGTGAAGAAATTAGACGAGTTTAGGTTCTCAACGGTGTTCGCCGGCTGTCTGTATCCCGGTAGGTGTACATGGGCAGTTTGTTCATGTAATATTACTGTAACCGTAGGGACGTACGTGCGTTCATACAGGGACATCTTGGCAAATTATATTACGATCCCATTCACTGTCTTAGCAAGTGTGTAGCATTCTGGGTAATATACATTTACAAATGAAGTTAAAATGGGTCATATGCCCTTCAATACGGACTATCTCTAAAAGATATTATTTGTTTGATTGATTGATTGATTGTTGACATGCAATATGCAGCCACACTGTATTGGTATTTATCTTATACCAAACACGCACAACACTGCAAAAAAAAAAAATGTCCTACAACTATTTATTTGTACCGTAGATGGTGAAGGTGCCAAGAAGCTTCAAGCAAAATGTTCACATAGGGTAGTCATTGTACCACTTGATATCTCATCCGATGAATCAGTTGCCATGGCGATGCAGCAAGTTGAAGAAACATTAAGAAAGCGGACACATGGTAACTATGACAGCCGATTTTGCTAAAATGTATTAAATGAATGGATATAGATTGTTTCAAAAACAAATCATCAAAATCATGCTTTTTCAAGATAGAATGGTGGGGAGATGAATTGCAATATCAATTACTCAGAATTCTCTATGATTTGTACCAATTTTCTATAAATTTACAATTTTGGACCCTATTCAATTCCCAAGCGTGAAGAGTCAGAGATATGAAGCATTGCCACAGACAGCTGTAAACTGGTGACATTTAACAACTAATTTTTGTTGGTACGCACTAAACAGGTATTCACGCATAATTTGGCAACATCCACGATGGATGTAACAGATATTTTTGTTTTTGCTATCTAATAGATCTGTGGGCAGTTGTCAATAATGCCGGTATCTTTCAGTGTGGGGATATCGAGTTTGCACCACTGGAAATGTTCAAACGATTAGCCGAAGTTAACGTTTATGGAACTGTACGTGTTACCAAGGCATGTTTACGGCATATAAGACGACACCAGGGTAAGTAAAAAAACACTTTTCCAAAGTAACTTATTCTGGTTAAGCAAGAGCTGCTAGTATCGTGGTTGTTATCTGCCAGAGAACCCCCTTAATCTATTCTCAGTTTTCTAACTAATGTGATATACAATACAAAACGTGTTCTTATTTTAAACTACAAGTTTTTATGTAAGATCGATTTGTTTTTATTTTTAAGAATGTACTCTTTTTAACCTCAATCAGCCACATGTACTTTAAAATTTCCCTGGTCACATAAGGGTTAAAGAAATGCATGCGCAATTATGAACCACTTGCTACAATTTCCCTCACAACTCACCATCTTATCTAACTACCACACTATTTTAAGGAAACCTGGTTCGAATCCTGTGTATTGCCACTAGAAAAAGGCCTCTTTTAAAATTAGGAAAAAATGTTACACTCTAATTTTTAAATATGTTGTACAAGATAAGGGATGTATTTGTGAAGTTTGAATGTGAGCAGACCAGGCTTGTCAGAGACACAAGTTAAAACACACATCCCCATATGACTGAACAGGGACTAACGAAAAACAATATTACAGCAGCTTCTGTATCAATGCAATAATGATTTTTACCTTGCCCATATCATCAAAGATAAAACAATTTTCTCCATGAGTTGACATTGAAAACCCAGTCTAGTATTACTATTGGATTTGGAAGATACATTACCAAGGGTATTATTATTACAAGATAAATGATTTGCTTCATTGAACACAGTCAACAATGCATATTTCCACTGGGATCAGTGACCTTTGAATGTGTATCACCAGTGATCAGTCAAGTAGAAACAGTCAACATTCTTTTTATCAGATTTTCTGAATTTTTGTATGATATTTTCATACAGGACATCTTTTATTCATACAAAGGAAAGACTTTATACTGATGAACTTGAATAAGGTGACCAAGTTTGGATTAGAATTAGTAAAGTTATAACAATTATTAATGACAACGCCGGACAGAAATTTTCCCCTTAATATACCTTTTCCTTCCATCTTTGACGTTACGGGCAAAAATACATAAATTATCTTAACAGAAAACAAGATGTCAGATAATTGATATAAGTATGTACTTCTATGTATAACCCTTTGGGTGCCAGACGTTTGATCAAGATCTGAAGCCAATAGAAAATTATGCTTGTTTAGTCCAAAGTTATCAAAACAAAAATAATGCAAAAATACATAACAGGAAACATGTTGCATAGAATAGGAAAATTGTACTAAAAAATTTGGATTCTGTATTTGATAAAACAATTCAATCGACAAAACATTTCTGCTTCGAAGTATATAAATTTTGAAAATCAAAATTCGCAAGAATTTGTCTTAGCTATTACTGTAAAATCTGTATTAGAAGCTGCGACTTCTATTAAAATGATACAATGCAACAGAGGGGATGCGGCTTCTATTAGAGCATCTACACGTATGAGAAATGGTGAATTTTTTATTCTCAATTATTCAAAAATAATGGGTGCGACTTCTATTAGAGATGCGGCTTCTAATACAGATTTTACGGGGTAGTAGGCAATTATGGAGCTTTTATAAAACTTAAAATCCTTCAACTTGTTTGTATTCAAAATGAATTATGACAATACATATTCATATTGCAACAACCTTTGAAAAAGGAAATAATATTATATAACAAAGAGCAAGGTGACCAGAGTTTAACTATGATTCCAGTTTAGTTTGTGTTTCAGTAATTTTATTTTCACAAATTTTATTTTTCTACAGGACGTGTTGTTATAATGAGCAGTATATCAGGATTATGGACCATCCCATCGAATGCACCCTACTGCATGACTAAGTATGCATTGGAATCATTCACAGATGCACTGCGATGTGAAATGAAACAATGGGGCGTAAAAGTAAGCCAATTATCACATTAATACACGATGTTTTACGAAATTAGCCATTCTGGGCCATTCCTATCAAACTTTATTATACATCTATCTTACAGGTATGTGCCATTGAACCTGGGCAATATGGAAGAGCTACAAACATTGGTTTGAATAGAGTGGATGAAATGAAAGAGGTCGCAAACAAACTTTGGGACAACGCCGATGATAACGTCAAGAAAGACTACGGAAAAGGCTACATCGACAGCCATGTGGAGAATTGCAAACGTGATTTAGATAGTTGTTATAGCGATGGAAGTCCTGTTGTCATGGCAATGTTGAATGCAGTATGGGATACTAATCCTAAAGATCGTTACCTAGTTGGAGGCCTTTTCAAAACATGGTTACCAGCGTACATGTTTCGGTACCTGCCTTCCTACATAACTGATCAGACATTTATAAGACAGTTTTCCAAGTACTCAAAACCGTTAGCACTGAGAAAATAAGAAAAACAGAGAATTTAATATCACCACTTTTTTCAAATTAACATGGACAATTATTTAGCATTTTTTAATGAATCAGAGGTGAGACCTGTGATTATACATAATAAGATTTTTTTCAGGACACATGCTATACTATGCTATGTATACAATGTATTGCGCGTTAATTACAAAATGTTTGATTGAAAACTGTTCATAATACCACAAAAAAAAAAAAATAAAGTTCATAAGAGAAAAATATGACGTAGCATTTACTTGGATATGTCTGTACAAGGTTATTATGAGGATGCTACAAAGTATACATCAGTGTCTAACTGTCAAAGAATGGTGTTTCACACTTTGACGTACTCTTAGCAGTGAGCAAATACTCCTCATTCAACATAAACTAGCAGCCTGTCGGCTGAGATAGCTCCGCTGTTATCAATACACATTGCAATTAAAGAACAGAAGATATCATTCGAAAATGAACAATATGTATAGTATTAAAGCAATCAGACTTTTTATAACTTTTTATCAAAATAAATCAATATATCAATTCATTTAGGATGAATATGAGAACACTTAATAACATATATTTCACAGGTGTTCAGTTGTCTCTAAATTAGCTCAGGAAATTTTGTCAAAAATGGCAACAAGCGACTTTAGACATTTCTAATTATTTGCCATATTGGTGTCTGTTGAGCATCTAAATCACTGCTTCATGATATTTACTCATACCTTCAATATTCAACAAATTCACAAGGCTTATGAGGAACTTTCCTGTGATAAAATCTTGTAAAATATCAATAGTGAGAATGCAATAGGTCAAGATGCAAATTAGCTAATTAATATGCATAAAACATTATTTCATTACTATACAATGAAACAAAACTTTTTTAAAATAGAACAAAATATAACAGCCACGTAAAAGAAAATTAGGCTACTGAAATACAGAAACTAGAATTTACATGTTCATTCAAAAGAACTTGCTTACCATAACCTGAGATGGATTAAATAAGATTTTAGGAAATTATTTTTTTCAAAATCTGTTATACTGTAGAATACTTAATTTTCGCTTGGAATTTATTTTCGCTATTTTCGCTGGAGGGATGATTCCGTGAAAATAAAATCCAGCAAATATACTTTTTTTCCTATATTTCACATTAAACTCATCAAAACTCAGTGAAAATAAATTCCATACAAAACACCCAAAAAGCCTTTTCAGCAAAAATTAATTCCAGCGAAAATAAAGTATTCCACAGTATACCGGTATATATTTTTTTGGCTTCACTTTTTTATTTTATTTATTTTTTCCAGTTGTTGTGTGTAGACCGCTCTGATCTCTGCAAACTCGTCTTCTGAATTCCCACTATCATCCTGACTGGTATTCACAGATAATCTACTACATGTCTGCTCTTTAGGCACTCCACATGGGGAAGAGACTCCATTTTTCTGTTTTTTAGATTTATTTAAATCACTTTCATCAGAACTTTTTCTCTTCCTTCTAACTTTAGTTTTATCCTTCTTGGTAATGATGCTTTTAGATGTTTGACTGCTGTCTGTCTTTCTGACTTCAAGACCTTTCCGTTTTTTCTTCTTCTTCTTCAAATCGTCAGTGACGAGGCTACTTTTTGAAGATTGACCCATTCCCATGGAAACGATATGCTCATCTTTAATAATCTCAGTTTCATTTTCAACACTAGAGAGCAAAAAGGATTGTGGGTAACCAGAATCCATTTCGTCGTCTGATATCACAATACAGCCTGATGCTTCTGATGGTTTAACATCAACTGACCTCTTTTGAACTTTCACCTCTGACACTAAATCTGGCAGGTCATAGACCTTTTGTTCTTTTGTCCTGAGGGTCAATTCTATACTTTTCCCCATAGATGTAACCAGTTTCTCTTTGGTTCCAGGTTGAACATAACTTATAGTAGTGTAAGGTGTGAAATGATAATCTTCCCGTAAATATCCTTCCAATAACAGATGACATACAATGTCTTCACATCTTGCGTCAGTCACAAATGGAGCCTTCTGATCTGCAATAACATGAACAATATTATAATTGCACTTTTAGGAGATTACAAACATATTTACTGTAAACTGAGAACAGAAGTCTCAAGGTAGCGTGAACCAAGTAAGTATTGGCCACCAAACCCAGGAGGAGAATAACGCACTGGAGAGGAGCACTTGTAACTAAGATGTTTATTGCTCAACTGCTAGGCCTGGAACTGAGTCTAAATACTTACCAGATGTTCCATACAATATATCAATATCATTATGCAAATAACTAAACTAAACCATAGCCTCAAATCATCACAGCCACATATTTTTCCTAAAGGTGTCAATGCTACTAATGATTGGCTTAATATTACTAATCTAAAATGGTTGCCAGTTACCACCTGTAGGCCACCTACAAATGTATTCACCAACAAGCTATCAAATTTTCTTGTGTACGATAGCAGAAAACTGTTGCAAACTCACTAAAATAATGGGCTACAGTAAAACTAAAGCAATGATCACCACCAGAATTTTCTGGGTGAACCACATGCCTGTTAGATCCCAAACAGTAACAACTTTAAGCTCTACACATCAAAATAATTAAAATATATTGAGAAAAGAGAGAAAATACGTAGTGGTTCCATAGAGGAAAATACAATGGAAGTACATGTATGTCTTTAAATGTTGTTATAAACTGCACCACAATTCTATTGACTATTAAAACCTAAAAGTGAATATTATGAATCATGTTGGCCTGATGGCTTCTGTGATAATCACCGACTCCTCATGCATAGACTCAAAATTAAACAGTAATCTAGCAGAATGTAACAACATGTGTACTTGCAGAAGCTCTTGATTCTGCAATTTGTACAAAAAATGTGTTGCATACTAATATAGTTGAGAAACAAATAGATTGTAAACTGAGGACTATATTCTCCTCATAATGCTGCTTTTATATGCAGACACCATAAAGTTCCCTAAGCATTTAGAGGCATGTATAACAATCTCACCTTTGTGCCACTGCATATATCACATGAAATAACAAGGAATATATAAATTTTCAAAACATTGTAAGATTATTATATTTCATTCACTTTTTCTGATGATGATAATACAAATTGGCACTCCACCTACCTTTGATTCGTAGTTCAGCAGATGGTCCTCTCTTCATCCATATATCAACTAATTTATTTGCTGTTAGTTTTTTATCTTGTGATGCCGCTTTGTTCAAGATAGTATAGAGTGTCTGACAGTGTCCGGTAATATCTCTATTCTGTGTCAATGCACAGCTGCTATCTTCTGCAATATACACAAATCAAACATTAAAACATACATTCAAGATTACTTGACTATAACGTCTTGCTGTAGCTTATCAATTGATTGTTTATACATGCATCGGGGTGGGGTGGGGGGGCATTATCCTTAAAAGCTTTCAAATTATTTGTATCGATGGATAACATTAAAGCCATTGATATTAGAGTATTGCAGGTATTCAATGAAAGCTAAATGTTCATTTTATGCCTAAAAAGGGGTTTTCATTCATTAGGTGTGTCAGGTTAAAAACTGTGCCTCATTTGAAATTTCACATAAAGGTGAAGTCAGGTGCCACATACAATAGAATGGGCAAATGTTAGTTTTCTGTTTTGTTGACCCAAATTAACCTATAATAGTACATGAATTTGAAATCATTATTTAATATATGTTAAATATTGTACATATATACCATTATCTCTAGTTGCTGCTCAGACTGCCACATCAATTTTTAATTTTTTGAGTACATGAGCCTTCAAACATCATAAATTTCTTCGTAACCAGTTTTGAACCAAATAGCCATAATTTTTCATTCACTACAGACCTTGATAATTGATAATATGGAAAATACGCAGGTCCGTGCTGTGAAAAAATGTTGACGTTGACATTCAGAGGGTTAAAAGTGGGTTCCACGTATTCACTTACCAGATTTTCTCTTAAGTCTACAATTATCACACATCCCACTACACTGACTGAAATCCCAGCTTTCACCAAAGTGTCTTGCAATTAAACTTCTCCTGCACCTAAGAACACAAAAGCAATTTGACACATAACTTGAAACTAAAGGCAGGGATTTTTTTAAACAAGGGAACAGGGGTGCAGCGCCCTCATGCCATGGCCATGCACCCCCTTACCTGGGGAGCAGATCCTCTGGCAACCATAAAATTCTCATTGACCAGGGATCACATGTGGCCACAGTCTTCAACTGTGACCCATCTGATAGTAATTTTGGCCCCATAGAAGTCATAGAATGCTCTATTTTAACTTAGAATTATCAAAAACTCCACACCCTGGTAGGGAGAACCCTATCTCCCCCCCTTGGTGGCACCACTGAATTGCAGTGTTCTCACTTGCATTTTTTTTTCTAGAAAAAAACCTGTAAAGGGGTACTCAAAGAACAAACTCAAAAACAATATATTAGTAAGAATTTATTACCTTTCTATGTTTGTACAATATCGCACCATATTATACAAATTATCTAAAGCCGTCTGTGTTTCTGTCAAAACCATGGTACTTTGACGGAAGATATCACCAAAGCCAAGAAATAGGATACAGTAAGCAGGCAATCCATCACGACCTGAAGAAAAGACAATAAACAAATGTTTTTGAAAAAATATTCAAGAAATTATACTGCTTAAACGGTTGGTCAGTAAACAAATCCATTTGTAAGCTGATAAGTTTAAATTCATATATAAATACACTCACCAGCTCTGCCACTCTCTTGGTAGTAGTTTTCAACAGATTTACTCATAGTGTGATGAATTACAAATCGAACATTTGGTTTATCGATTCCCATCCCAAAGGCTATAGTTGCTACGACAACCTATGCAAAATACATCAAAGAAGTGAATGGCAGTCATGAGTCACAGTAATTTAAAAAGCAAATCCTTTGATATATATGTTTTAGTATTTTTGATTCGATTCAATGCATGTTAATTATCATTACAAAAAGATGTTGTTCAAATACAAAGTAACGAGGGATTGCAACGACATCTTTGTATAGCGAGTCTCAAACAGAAAATAAACTGGAACTGGCAATATATTCCGTGAGCTACTAGGATCATTTTTTGTTCTAAAGTGAGGGTTCCTTTAATACTGGGGATCCTGGAAGCAAAATATGGGATTAACGCAATCCTTGAATATAACAATTCCTTTGAATAAAAGATAAGTTCTCTACCTGTATGGTTTCTTTAGCCCATGCTCTATGTATTTGACTTCTTCTACTGGAGTCAATATCAGAATGATATGGCAGTGCTTCAATGCCACCTTTTCTCAAATCAGCGGCTATGGTCTCACAGTCTTTGCGCGAGAAACAGTAAATAATTCCTAGAGACAGCAAACATAATTCTCAGTGAATAGACTTGATAATATAAGAATACCACAAAGTGAATTCCCGCACTGCCTGATTGCATACTTTGCAGTATTCTTGTGATAATCTTATTACATGTAATATATATCTTTGTCCTGCTTGTAGTAATAATGAAATAAGAGATAAAAGTCTGATATGATAACTAAAATCAGTTTGTGCTGTAATGTTCACATGGGTTTCGTCACATGATATAGCTTCCAATAATCAATAATCTTGAACAAGTACCGGTAAATGTTAGTGACATAGTTTACCACAAGTAAAGGAAAATTTGAATGTTTGAATGAATTCTTATCTGATTTGGATTGAATCAGATAAGGATCTTTATGGAATGGTAAATTCTAGTATTGTCGATTCTAAAATTACTATAACAAGTATTGGCAGGAATCCTTATACATGGCCCAGACAGGCAGATTTTAATTGGAACAGATAATATCAGAAAACTGCCTATCCCAGGTAAATATTTAAATTGTTCACGCACACTTGTCATATAATGCACATTAGTTATTCTTACAACAAAATATGTCACATACTAGTCCGAGCGAAATAACAAACAAATCATCATCTCTACAAATAACAACTGCAAAATCATTCTTAAATTAATGAAATCATGATGCCTACTAAATAGAGAACTATTACAGCAACTACGAATCTAAAGACAAACGAGGGCATGTACCTATTTGACCTTTGAACTTTCCATTCAGTAATTTTGATATTTCTGCAACGCATTCTTCATGTTTTTTGGGTTTTCTTCTGACCTGCACAAATTAAACACAAACAAGATTACCTTTGTACCTGAAACAATACATAATTTGATAGCATGAAAATATGTTTGTTATAGTGCATTTCATAACAGAAGTTCATGAACGAAATGTATTGAATCTTACATACTTTATTCAAGATACAAATTATATGGCATATATTGGCATACATTCCTGTGTTTTTCAGGTTAATAAGTTATTTTCCATCCACTGCGGAAACTTGCATAGTTTTGAAAGGCAATGATCAAACGTTTGCCGCAAAAATCAAATAATAGCTCAATGTTGAAATGTTTATTATTCAGAGGGCAACATGGTGGTGATATATACCCTTACTTCACCAAAATTAACCATCATCAAATGTGTAAAGCGTATATTCTTTCGAGTATCCCACGTGATGTTTTGATGTCACGAAGACCTTTGCCTGTTCCTGTTTTTATGTTTAATTTCATTCATAATGTGGGATCTTGCCATGAACGAAAAATGATCTATTCAGTAGAGTCTGTCTGTACTATACATATAGTTGCTTACCTCATAATATAAATTAGGTCTATCATATGATGCTCTCATTGTCATACAGTATGGAACATTAAGTAGATTTTTTACATCATCTAATATGTGTTGAGTGGCAGTTGCTGTAAGACCTAACAGTGGTACTTCGGGAAACTGGCGTTTGAGTATTCCCAAGACTTTGTAATCTAAATGCAAACAAAACAAAAGTAATACTACAACATGCAATGAACAAATCACAGACAGCATCCTTGTTTAATACTATGTGAGCATTATATCAGAGAATGGCAATTAGATCAATTTTGATTTGAACTGGAAAACATGAATGAGCATAGTATTTAGGTTTTGGCAATGTAAATTTGCAGTATGTCCATGGAAGAAATGCAATAACTGCATGGTCTGAATGCAGTAAATGGGTGATCCAATGACAAAAAAAAAAGTGTGACCTAAAGTGATGAATGCATAGGGCAAACATGAAATGACAAATTACACAAAATTTGTAGATATCAATTCAACTTTTTCAAATGATTGATATGTTCTTGTCACCATGACAAATAAATGAAAATGTGTATTTTCTTGTCTGTAACAACATGTACACATGAGTGGTAAAGGCAACATGATCAATACATCAACAGTAGACATACTCACCACGTCTGAAATCATGCCCCCACTGACTGCAGCAATGTACTTCATCAATAACTATACGTGCAAACTTTCCTGCTTTGTACATTTTTTCCAGTTTCGACATGAACATTTTACTTTTTGCGATCTTCTCTGGGGTAACGTAGAGAATCTTGAGATCCTGAGAGTGTGGATCGATCATACATTTGTGGACGTAGTTCTTATGTTCCTTCGTACTATCTGCATTAAGTAAAGCACCGTTTACACCGCACATGTCCAATGACATCAGTTGGTCCTCCATCAACGATACCAGAGGAGATACAACCAAAGTGATTCCTACGAGGAGAAATGTACAAGCCATGATATAAATTAGGCAGGTGTCGTATTGGGTTTAGTTTTCTTTCAAAATGGTTCTCTACACAATGGCCAACAGCCTGTCTAAAATAAACACTTTTGTAGCTTCATCGATGCACAAAATACACAGAACAATTTCCCTTGTTTTTTGGTGATTGGGTTAAATTGGTTTTACTGTAGAATCGCTCTCAATACATTAAATATTTAAATAAACTGAACAATTTTCTCAGTCCCTTTGGTGTCAGATTTAGATAGGTTTCACTCAATATAACATACCGGTATTGTAAACAGTTTAAATTTCACTGACATTGTTTTTTCCGTAATAATTTGATGGTATTCATGTGAATAAAATTTCACAATAACTACTGTAACTTGCGATCCTATGAAATGTTCACTATGTTCTTGTGGTTTTCCCTTCTTTGTGAAATTCATGAAAATCTGTCTTTTGTAAAAAATAAAGCAGTTTATGATATATTTAGCACTCTGACTCAGTATATAACCTTGACTATATAGCTTTTTGAAAAGAAAATGGTTATTTTTCCAAAGAATCATAATTCTGTAATAATTCCAAAAGAACACATTATTATAGTATTTTTTTTTTACTACAAGGGGCTAACAATTGTAAGAGCATGTCGTTTCCAATTCACCCTGTTCAGTGAGAACAGTTCAAACGCTATAGTCATTGTGTTGTGTCTGATATGGGTACCGTATAACATACACAACATGTATTTAACCTGAAATTCAAACATGTTGCACAGTGACTAATGATGCTTTAGCATATCGCTATACGTGAAAACTTTTAGCTGGCGATTTGTTAAAAGTTCTATTTTTTCTATGACAAATCAATGTACATGTGTGCCACCAAGTCAGGTTATAGTAACAGAGCAAATTAAAAACAGATAAAACAGTGAATACCTTTTGAAATCAGAGCTGGCAGCTGAAAACACAAACTTTTACCACTACCAGTTGGCATGATTAGAATCAAATCTCGGCCAGAAAGGGTAGCATTCATCGCTTCCAACTGATGAGGGCGGTATTCATCAATCTTAAACACACTTCTACTCAGCTCATCCAGCTTTTTAGACCAAGGGAAATCTGGGAAAAAAGAAAAACAATTGAATATTTTGCTGACGTTAATAATTTTGTGAACATCATTAAAATGCAGATAAATGTTTGATCAAGGAAGGATGTCTATCAAATATGTTATCTGGCTGCTGCTATCTAATTTTCGCCAAAATTGTATAATTGTGGCCCGTTCTCTGAGCCAAGAACCACACACAAATTTCATGGATAAATGGTGAACAAGATAACAGATAACTGACTGCCATTTGAAATGTTTTGGACTATATTCCAACATTTTGTAAGAAGCTTTCCATGACATTATTTGAGAATATATAAAACCCTTTGCCTATTCTTAACCTAGAGGCAAATAAACTGAACTCACCATTTCCATTAAACTTGTCACCTTTTGAGACAACACTGCCTCCTTTCTGAATCTTGGCTATCTCTCTTTCAAGGTCATGTTTCTTGCTCTGCAGCTGCTGTTGTCTGTCTAACAGTTCTTCAATCTGATGTTGAACGGCTGCTATTTCGTCTTCAACTTTTGAAAGCTGACCAAAATAATCTGTTTTCAACAAATCACAAAGAGCTGACTGAAACTGATCATTGCAACCTAGCTGCCAGAATTATAAGAATTATGAGCCAAGCCGCATTATTCAACTTATTGTGTTTACAAACAAAATGTTGACAAATTACAGTCAATAAAAAAAAAAAAAAAAACATGATAACAAAAAAAATATTTAATGCAATATGCATTTATTTTTTTACAATATGCATTTATTTTTTTAATTTTGTTGGTAATGAAATGTATATTCTAAAAGAAGTTTCAAATAAAAACAAACACGAATGCATTGCTTAGTAGCAAATGATCACGATATGGTAGCGTAATCTGGTCATGCTGCGTTTCACAAGTGAATACCTTACTTGTTTTTGAAGTGTTGAAATTGTTGATTATTACTCAGTAGTGATTACAATAATGTACAAAAAATAAATTCGTCGAATTGTTATGAAATGCAATTAAAATTCATTTTAGTTTCACCGTAAGCAAATTATTTTGGTCACATGTAAACACTTGTTGTGATACGATATCTGCCATGTTTTTTCCATGCACACGAGTGACATTATTCTCCTTCCCAGGTATATTTGCGGACAGAACACAGGAATTTTCGAAAAGTCTGGGAAGTTATTTCCTGTGACTGGTTATTTGAAGAATAATCAAATTAAGAAAAAAACTTGGGGTATTAAACCAAACCAGTTTTTGAATTATGAACCTCACTGTATGCAAAATGCTGCCAGAATGGTATTTAAATTTTGGTGCAACGTTTAGCACATTTTAATGTATTTTTTTATACTTCATTTGTTAATTTTTGATCCAATGGAATTTCCCATTGACTACAGGTCTTCATCAAAATCATCAAAAAAATTCAGGAAAAGTTTATTCCGTGAAAGGTGACAACAGTTTTGGTGTTAAAAGAGCAAACACTATGGTAAAATCACAAAGTCAATATTTATATGGAAACAAGTTCATTTACGCCTTCTTTTTGTTTTGTCTTTGTTGTAACTTTTCATTCAGCAGAGTATCAAATGCTTTTAAATTTTCTACATTTTTACTAATTGTCCATGTCAAACTACTTACCCTTGAGTTGGGGAGTAACACTCATGTTTACTTCCAATAGACTTTACCACCAACGATTTTAACAGCAGTTTGTTTTTTATTATAGCGT